TAGGATATCGTGCTGTCACGAGACTCGATCGGTTGATAAATTTTCCTGCACTTTTCTGTTATTTTGTCTAACAGTGCTGCTATCACAAAAAGAGATAATTGTATTTTGGGAGACTATTGTTGTTTAACCATGAGCACTTGTGTGGCAAACTGGCCTTAAGAACAAAGAATTGAACTTTTGGTTCGATCTATTACATTTTTTAATTTGGTTTAAGTTTCAATAAGTATTATCTTTATGAGTGTCGAGGCATATCGGGTTTGACATTAATCTACTAAATAAAATTCACATTACATCTCCCCCTCTACTCCGCCATTTTGTTGTGACATTGTTTGTATCGCTTATTTGTGTGTCAACTTGATGTTGAATTCTAGAAGGTAAATCATACTTTCATTCCTCTTGTGTCTTAGCAGAAATAGTAATTAATATAACTCTTATTTCGGTTTGTGGGCGTGGGTGCCGGGGGGGGGGGGGGGGGGGNGTTAAACAAGGATAAAAAAATAAAATGTGCTGAAAATTCCAACTCTTTCCAAGAATCAATATAGCTGTTACCAGGACGGACCCAGGAAAAAATTTAAGACGGACTAATATGTAGAAAAAAAATAAATTAATAATAATTGTTTTTACTTAAAACAGCCCCTCCTTTTTTTTTTCTAAAGGTGATTTGGCCTGGGGGAGGGGCTGCTGCAGTCTTCTTTATATGCTCTTACACCCCCTTTTGTTCTCTTCTTCTAACCCAAATTTCCTCTTAACACTTAAAGATTGTGTACTTTCCAAATTCTATCTTTCTCTTTACTCTGAAGTGCCAACATGGTTGCGGCGCTTGTTCATCAATGCATAAGCCCTTTACCGGCGCGATTCAACCGGAGAAACATGCAGAAGCTTAGTCATTATCCCATTATTTCCTATGTTCTTACAAAGACAACAACCAATACAAAGACATCAACTGATGACTCCAAGAATGTTTACAAAGATAACTGGTTTGATCTTCTTGCCATTAATCATATCTCCAGAAACTTACAAGCTTCAATAGGTTCTCTCTCTATCTCTCTCTCTCTCTCTCTCTCNGTCGCCTGCCATCTCTCTCTCTCTCTCTCTCTCTCTATCTCTCTCTCTCTCTATATATATATATATATATATATATACACACACACACACACACATACTTGGATAGCTTTTTCTACATCTCTATGTCATTTTGAATGGTTAAATCGTGCCTTTGGGATAAAAAAAAAAGCACCATCTATTTGATCTATTCATGGACACGTTCTTGTTCTACAATCATCATTTTTATATCGAGAATTGAAAAATGAAAAAATTTACTTTAATTAGAAGTCTTTGAATTTACAACGATTGCTAAATAGATTTTCAGTACAAGTGTTAATCCATCTTTCTTTGAAATATAGAGGGTGCATTTTTTAATTCAAAATGCATGACTGATTTTATAACTATTCAATATTTTATACAATTTTAACCATATTTTATGTCTTATTTTATTAAAATTTGTCTTTTAAATAAACTTTACTATACTCCGTCTTTATGCTCTTCCCTTTTGACTTTTTACGTTGATAATTGTCATTGCTCTTCAATAATAGTCATTCCTTTATCTTTGTGACACTATGACATTTCGAACTGTTAGTAATGCCTTTTGAATTAAAAAATGTCCCCTCGATTTTTCAAAGAACGATAGATTATATATTTAATTCTTTTCTACCCATAAAGGATTTAGAAGCAGCAAGGGGGGATATGATGGCTTTGTTGAAGCTGCAACAATGGCGACAAAGTTGTTTAGTCCAACTGAGCAGCAGAAAATTGTTAATCAAACACTTGATATAGCCTTCCCCAGGCCTATACTTAACATGGCAAGTTCATTTTATCAATATATTTGATCATCTTTATCATAATTGCATTTCATAATAATTTTCTAAAAATTGATTGGCTGAAGAAATTAAAATAAAAAATAAAAAAATAGGCAAGAAGACAAGAATTTAAAAAATATATTAATTATATTGCTTCTGTTTGGTAGAAATTAATATACAATTATAATTTAAGTTAAAGTTAACAATTAATTTTAACCACATATTTTATGGGACACAAAACTTTTTAACTACACAATTCATCAACTTTTATCAAAATCTACTAAAAATCTGATTTTTATCCCACCGAATGGGAGAATGGTAATTTTTGCCCGATATTATTCTTTCGTCATGACTTCCGCTTGCTCTAATGACTCTTCCGTCAAACAAATCATTTTTTTAAGAAAATAATCCAAATATATTAAAAAATAATTTCTTAATATTAGAAACAACTTTCTACTTTTCAAAACCTTTGTCATATGAGCCATACATTAAAGATTTTTTGTTAGTACAATATTAGTCATGCCACATGAATGAAGAAGTTGAACTAATTTGTGTGGTAAGAAAAGAATTGAGAGCTAAACAGTAAAGTGTTTGGTGTTTATTTCGTGCGAGTAACTATTACATGCAATATAGAATTCTAGAAGCTAATTGTGTTTCACCTTATTTTCCAATTTCTTAGAATAATTTCACTTCATTTTTTCGTCTAAAAAGATTTAAATCTAAATAATTTGCTCGATTGCATCAATAATTAGGCTTAGTTTGAACCCTATTTTAATAGTGATATTTTTTAAGAACGTGTGATTAAAAATAGGGAAAAAATTTTTGAATTTACTTGTAAAATTATTTTATTGACAGAATATGTGATTGAAATTTAATTTGGAGAAAATGAATTTCTAAAGAACGTGACTCAAATATGAGCTTAATTGAATCATTTTTACGATGATTCTAACCAAAATCGATGTCATGCTAATTCAAGTCGCATAGCTATTAATTACAATTTTAATTTTAAATTTTATGGTATTTACATCGAACTATGTTAATACAACATAAATCCTAAATATAATGATGGTAGATGACACGTACTTTATTAGGATTTTTTTTAGTAAATTATCACACGTGACATCATGATGATGATGCACAAGAGAATAAGAAATGCAAAATAGTGAAAATGAAAATTTCTTATAATTTTCTGATAGAAAGAGAGTCGAGCATACTGCAAAGATAGGGAAATTGGATACATTCTAGTACGTAAAGTTCACCCTACTAAATAAACCATCATTATAAATCGGATTTCTTCAGTCACGCAAAGTAAAAGCAACAATCTCTCAAGAAAAATATTCGGGAAAAAATAATCATGTTAAATATTCAGCTAATGCAATTATATACAGGCCTTGATTAGTGTATGTGTTCACATTTCACCACAGATGAGGACCCTGATGCCACAATCTAGATTTACAAGGGAGTTCTTCGCTGTCTTCACGACGATTTTCTTTGCTTGGCTTGTCGGCCCTTGCAAGGTGCGTTGAAAATCGATTATTTTGGTATGATTAACAAAAGAATGCAAACAAAAGAGATATATTATTGACACGTTTGACACATTGAATTAGACATGAAAAGGTTTGATTAAGGAATAAAAGTATCGACCTCTTCAGTTCAACGTACCAATTCTACCCCATGCAGTATTAGCTAAAAAAAGATGTTGTCAATATTGTATACCAAACATGTACTTTAAGAAACTTCAAATGATTGCACACACATATCACGGATTCGTGAGTGTGTGCAATTTTCAAGCAGTGAAAGTAACAAATGCCCTCTTTCTCTTAACACAAGGTGAAAGAGTCGGAGTTCGAGGGAAGAAAAGAGAAAAATGTTGTCCATATAAAGAAATGCAGGTACCTTTCGCCTTTTACTTCCAAATAAATCACCATAACTTCCCAATGAGAACACATATACCTAATTGAAACAACTTTAAGCTGCAAAAAAAATAATATAAATTTAATTATTGTTCTCTTTCTCTTTTCCAGTCTTAAGAACATCTTTAATGTGATCCGCTCATTTTGTTCTCAATGATTCTACACAGATTTTTAGAGGAGACCAACTGTGTGGGAATGTGCACTAACCTATGCAAGATGCCATCTCAAGCGTTCATTCAAGAGTCCCTGGGTATGCCTACCACCATGGTGCCCAGTAAGTATCTTGTGACTTGTTTGTAATGTAATCCTTCATTCATACAATCCCGATTAGGCAGAGACCTTCCCCTTTTTCCTTTTTAGAAAAGGCCTGATACTGACACCAAGAGACGAAAGCTTGGGGAGCAAAGCCCTTGCTATCAACATTTTAAAGACCTAGACTTGTAATATTCACATTCGTGCACGTATAAATTAGAACATATATCATCCAAGCCTTAAATTTTTTGATTTAAAGACATTGAAGGACAAAAGCAAATAGGGATCATACCTGGAAGAGTAACAGTGTGGGCACTAAAAGTGACAAACCTTGCAAACCAATTAAATGGAGGGTCCCATCCATAAGCCTACTTAATGCAGAAAATAACCCATCATAGCTTATTTGAAATTTCCACCATGTAATGCATTACGGCTAAATATATAACTCAATTCTTTATATTATAAAGTTTGTACCCAAAAACTAAAAGGGGGAAAAATCTTGAGACAAACCAGCAAAGGAGCCACTTTTTATTTAAAAAATTGTCATGTCTCAGCTTATCATCATTCCATGGCCTATTCCATGCATGTGTAAAGAAAATGTTAAAAGTCTGCTAGGCTCTAGTATCTGAGAAACATATAGTGATGCTTAACTGAGTAAGTTACAGTCCCAACAGTTTCGCAAACTTAATGCATCAGTTGATACTTGAGTTTTATATGATTAAAAAGAAACTTTTTTCTTTGCAGATTTTGAAGATATGAGTTGTGAGATGATATTTGGTCAGCAACCTCCACCACCAAGCAGTGATCCAGCCTTCACGCAACCATGTTACAAACAATGTAATTATTTAAAATTTAATCTGTCATCACATTCTATTAATTTTGGAATGCAGAGCAGGATTTTTCCCATTTAGAATAATGAATATAGCTCAAGCATAGCTGGTCTATTCTAATTAGCCAAATGATAACAAAATATGAATAAAGGTAATGGGAATATTATGCTCATGCTCCTCTACGTCATTCGTGCAGGCAAGGCGACCCAAAGGCACCAGAAAAACTGCACCAGCTCGTAGGGTGCAGCCGTTCAAAAAAAAACAAGAAAAGGATAAAGATAATACGAACAAAGAGGTGAGGAAGAAAGGACTCGAAGAGTATAAGAGGAAGGCAATTATATTCTAATTCAATTAGATCCTTCTCTGATCACAACAATCTGTCAGATATATTCCAGTAAGTTATTTCCAGCTGGTTCATCATACAACTCTTTCATGACAAAAAATTGAAAATTATAAATTACACAGCAAGAAACTATGAATTGATTATTATGGGAGGCTTCCTAATGCCAGAATATTCCATTAGCCATCAAGCACCAGATAGAAAAAGCATGATACCAATTTTGAAGTTCTCATCTAGTGATTAAATATTATGTTGAAGATAGGATTGAAATGATACATATGTAGTCATCGCTAACAACTTAAACTTTTAGATGATTCTCAGTTTGAGTTTTACTGTCACCAATTTAATGAAATTGTGTACATGTAAGGTTTCGATGAGAAAAAAAGAACCCTGCATGAGGAAGCGTGTTGAAGAAAAGATTTAAATTACACACACAGGGACTCTCTAACCACTAAAACTTTTAAATCAAGTGGTTCAACAAAAATATTATTACCCTCTTTTCGATTGTAAATGAGACATTACTTAAAAGAGTCTTGATTACAAGAAAAGCTGCTACATCTCCAAGATAGATAGACAATTTCATTAATATTTAAAGAGATTTTTCAATGACTCAGTTGCAAGAAAAACTATGTTATTAATAACAAAACTAAAAACACCAATTCAACAGTGTTTGCTATCTATGTGAGAAAAAAATTAGACGAGGGTGTGATCAGCGTCATATGAGATCATGAAAGCAATGCTTGCATTGTTAGCTCTATTAAGACATATAAGTTGCCATCTTTACTAAATGTTTCTTTAAGCCGTTATAAACTAAAGGAATTTCTGCACCCCTGCAAATTTTTTTCTTCAGTAAATAAGACGATTGCAGAGCATAGTGGATTTACAGCTTATTGAATCAAGTCAATAAACCATAACTTATTATGCCATTTAAATGAAAAGAAAAGGTTCTAGACACTAGATTTATAATATGACAGGAGAATCTTGCTGGCACTAATTAAGTCAATCATCGATAGAAGGATCAACAAGTTCGATGAAATTTATTGTCAGTATCAATTCTGAAAGCAGAATGTTGATATTCATAAATCAAAATTGAATGGATATGCTAGTGGTTTTTAATACGTTTGATGGTTGTAAGACTAAAACAACACCTATAAGACACACTAATTTATCCTGATGACCAAGCCAATAAGGTTTTCTTGCTTGGAAAAGTGCTTTGACTCGAGATTTGTTGTAGGTTTTAAGGACAGCAGGGGTGGACCTACCAAGTGTCTCCCACTTCACATAACCTCACAAGTGACCAAATTAATATATTCTGCTGTCTTTTCTATCATATTAAGAGAGTGAAGCACTCACACAACAGATTAAGGCTTATTAGTGCAGCATTTGGTGGATCTGTTAAACAAATAGCACAACACACTAAGTCTCATTCCCAATAAATTTGGGGTCAATTAAGAATATTTCAGGTGTAATAATCTTAATTTAGGGATAACATATTTATATATACACATAATTACAAGCATACAAATAGCTACCTTCAATACATCCATTAATGCAAGGTGCTGATACGTCCATGTCTGGTAAAGATTCTTCAAAATTCATATTTCTCCAAACTCATTTCAACCACTCATTCTCCGGATAAAATACTTTTTACACATGGACCCATAACATTTTTCTACTTTTTAACCACGTATTCTCCTAAAAAAAATCACTTCTCACAAAATCTATTCAAAAAATTTGCATAAAATAGGCCCCTAGTATTTAAGCACAGTAAATCTTCAATGTAAAACTTCATATGTAGCATTAGCAATCATTTTTTTTCTTATGCAGAGAAGAAATTCATCATAATGCAAACTTAGAAGGAAGTCCCGAATTTATTAAAAAAAAAAAATTCAAAAGGCAATGACAAGAAAACTTAATAATAGCGAAGATAATGGACCTAAATGAAAAAATGAGAGTATCAACACATAATTCCTAAAATGTTTTGTTTAAGATTTCAGCAAATCAAAAGCTTAGAGCACAATAGAAACAATTGAAGCAGGCATTACAACGTAGAATAAATTTTGAAGCATAAAAAATATATAAGAATCGAAAAAATAACATTTGAATAAAATTGATGAAAGAATAAAAGAAAACAATAAATAGTTTACCTAAATTTTTTTTACAGCGTGCTAAGATTGCCCGTTTAGAATCCAGTGGTGGCTTCTGTCTTCCTCTTCATATTGTAGCCAGGAATCTGAATCTCCTGAAATTTGAACCGGACCCGGTCCAGCTATATGATGGGACTTCTTGTTTGCTATGTTAAACCCAATAATTTTAGGCCCACTAAGCCCAATCTACTTATGGTATTTGGCCCATTAAGCAGGATTATTGGGCCAGCAATGTTGTACTTGATCCATTAAAGTCATCGTCCAGTACTAATGGGCTCAAGAATTAATGTTATATTTCAGTAGCGAAATCGTCCCCACACACGAAAAACAGATACGAGCTAGCTCATCTCGAATTGAATTGTTGATATTTTTTTGTCCATTGAATGAATTAACCAAGACGGAGGGAGGGGTCGCAGCTTGAGCTTTAGCCAGTGTTGCCTTAAACCCATTTAAATTTCCATCGCTAATTTTTTTCCTATGTATTTGTCCGATACAAAAAATTTGTTTTGTTCCCCGAACTCCGCCCCTAAATGTAACTATAATTGTTTATTATTCATATGATATTGTATAACTTCCCCCACCTCGTCCCCCAAATAAAGCTTCCAATGACCAATAATGAAGTCACATTGCTATACCATCTGGCAAGGATCTCAATAAAGGGTAGAAATTGGCAGCCCTTCACTACAAAGGATGAACAGGTTTAAAGAATTCTGGACATATAACTGCACAAACTCAGGCACTCTTAGTCTTAGTTCAACAGAGAAAAAAAGGTCGCCATCAATTAATTAAAGAAAGTATTAGTGTCGCCTTGGGATAGCCTAAGACCACACGCCCTTGCATTGCCAGAGAAACTCGTTACACGTCAGTACGAAATATTATATTGTATCGAACAATTTCAAATAAAAAAATTTTAAATTTCATTGTATATTGTCGAGTATAATTTAATACTGTTAACGAACATGAACTGATATGTTAAAACTTGGGTATGTATCAGACTAATTTTATAGAGGTGGGATTCTTGAAAGTTACGGAAATAACATAGTAGGCAGGATATAATTTAGAGTGTGTTTGTCTCCCATTATTGAGAGAAAAATGGAGTAATGAATAATATTTTTTAGAGAATGTGTGGTTGAAAAATAAAGTAACTTTATTGGTTTGTGTATAGAATATTTTATTGAGTGAATGTGTGGTGGAAAATTTTATTATAGCAAACAATTTTTTGAAATAATGGTAGACAACCAGGAGCTTAGCAAGTAACATAGTTGGAAGAATCAATAATTTGATTCTTATAGAACTTGGTTTCTAGATCTTCTATAACCTATTTCTTACCACTTGAGTTAGACCTTATTTGTCCTCTGGTCTTTTAAGAAAACAATTTTGCAACATTGTGTCAAATAAATTAATAATTTTGTCGGAAAAGCTATTCTCTATCGCAAGACGATGCGATCTTAATAATTTAACTTCTAATGAAGCCATATGTTTGTTGAATAAGGTAGGCTAAGCCCTAGTTTGGTCCAACTTTTTTTATAAAATGTGTAATTAAAAGGTCAATAAAAAAAATTATGAGTTCTATACTATATGCGGTTAATGAAATTTGACTGGCTTATAATTTTAAAAAGCTAAACCAAACAGGTACTGAATCATATTGAATGAACACTTAAAAGAGAAAAATAACTAAATTTTATTAATTCTTGTTTTCTTATGTTCCATTCTTGGTACTAAACAAACTCTTATTAATATACAGCAAGTTTGTTTAAACTGCAGCCTTTATTCATGCAAATCCATAGACTGTATTTTCCTTGAAATTCTCCCTCTTTTCCCCATCTCCATACAGTGCATAGGCTTCCTCTCCATGCACTGAATCATCTCCCATATGCAGAGCCTCTTCATCCAACCTAAGTGGAACCACAACCTTAATCAATAAGCAAATTAAGGTTGTCATTACAACATTCAAGCATATGACAAACACAAGTCCTAGAATTTGAATCCCCAGTTGCTTTAGCCCTGCACCAAATCTGCCACTCTGAATTCCATATGCAAATCCTATGTAGTGCTGCCAGTTCTCCACTAGGTAAAATATGCGACTGAGTTTTGGCTCCGCGAAGATTCCGGTGAGTATCCCGCCTAACATTCCTGCGATGGCGTGGGTGTGGAGCACTCCCAATGTGTCGTCGACTTTCATGAGTAAGGGACTTTTCTTTTGAAGGATCATCATTGTGTACCATGGAATGCTGCCTGAGAGCAACCCCATTATGATTGCTGCCCAACCTTGAACCACTCCTGCAAAACATTGTTATAGCAAATTTTAGTCGATCAGTTGTAATGACTCCAATTGTGTCCCCACGTGGCTAAATTAGTGGCTTGGTTCAGGGGTTTGTAATCACTCGATTATCCTCCCTATTCAAGCCGTTTTAAAGTCTAGTTCTAACTAATGTGTTTGTAGTATTAGAGGAAACGACCTTTTGGATATGACCTGATAGTAACTTGAAGGGGCAACTTCCAGTAGAAGATTGGTTTCGTAAAGTCTCGTAACTGAAAAAATGGCTTGTCGTGGCTGTCGATTCTAAAGAAGGGTGCAACATAATAACCCTAATCATGTCCCATATTGCTAATTAAAGGCTTGATCGGTGCTTATAATTACTCGAGAGCGAGTTCCTATGTTGTATCTAAAGTACGATTTTTTCTTGAAATAATCTGAAATACTTACTTTTTAGATTACATGAAAGATCGAACAGAATAATAGGATGATCAACATGATCAAACAAGATTAGAAATATAATTCGAGTCCACCAACTTCACGATGTATTCTTAAGACGAGTTAATTTCGGAGTTCAGGTTCCAAGTAGCTCAATCGAAAAACATTTCCAACACTACCTAATGTGTTTGTCCCACCATGATGCACAAATATATTAATCATGGATATCAGCTATTGGATAAAATGAGACAAGCAATGTTATTTTACCTGCACCAGGGGTGATACAGACCAAGCCGGTGATAATGCCTTGGGTGGCGCCAAGCACAGAAGGTTTCTTAAAGAATATGATGTCAAGAATGAGCCATGTGAGCAAGCTTGTGGCGGTGCAGATGTGCGTGTTAAGGATGGCCAAGGATGCATCGGTGCTGGCCACAAACGGAGCTCCACCATTGAATCCCGTCCAACCAATCCAGACGAACCCAACTCCGGTTAGCATTGACAAAATGTTGTTCGGGATGAATGTCTCTCGATCCTTAATTGACCTCGGCCCGACCTGCATAAAAATATACATTGATGCTCTCTCTTTTAGGGTAGAATTAGTTATGGACGAGATTTTATCATACCCAATAGGCAGCGGTGAAACCAGAGACACCTGAGGCGACATGAATCACATATCCCCCTGCAAAATCAATAATTCCCATCTTTGACAACCAGCCATCAGGGTACCATATGCTATAAGCACTAATGGTGTAGGAAAATGTTAACCAAAGTGGCACAAAAATCATCCAGGCATGAAAATTCATTCTCCCAAGCAATGCACCAGCAATCAAAACCAATGTAATCGCAGCAAACACGAACTGAAAATACACCATAGTCGCGTTAGGGAACGACCCTAGAAATGCCTTTCGTAGAAGAAATTTCTCGTCCAAGGAGATGTTAGGAAAACCAACAAAGGGTAAAAATTTATCTCCAAATGACATTCTGTAGCCCCATGTCACCCAACAAACCAGGACCGAGGCAAAGGCATATAACGCCATGAAGGCTGAGTTCACAGCCCATTTCTTCTTGACGATGCTGCCATAAAGAATAACGAGGCCTGGAACGCTTTGGAGTCCGACTAGAGTTGCTGCTGTAATCTGCCAAGCGTTGTCGCCTTTGTTCATCCATTCCGGGCTGGCCTCATCGGGCATCAAATTTGCCGGGAATTGTGACATTTTCCGGGGCTACAATGTATTAAAGAACAGATTGGACTTGCAAAACCAGCTTCTAACTGTGTCGTCACCAACAGAGTCCGAAAGGGACCCTAGTTGGAGAGGTTGCAGACTCGACTCTGAAAATGTTGATGGAAACAGAAGAGTTTGACAGCAATAAGAATGAAATTGCTATATGATTTTCAGTTTTAAACCGAAATGAATAGCTAATTTCGATCTGTCAAATGAATTTCTGCCCCTAAATTCCTGTCATATTAAATGCAAGGCTTTGCATCTCTTTCGTTCATTCTTCGTACCTAGCTGGCTGTTCCTTGTCGATTATCGTATAAAAATAGAAAGAGAATGAGAGAAGAAGATGGGCTATGGCAGATTACATTTCATGTGCAATGATATTCCTACGCGTGTCCAGTAATTAATTTGTTGCAATATATGATATATCAAGAAAATACATGCCATTAAGCCACTTAATACAATACTATTTTGGTGAGTAACAATATCAAATATTATTAATTATCATTACTCTATTAAAAGAGAGGAGGGACAAATCACTGTTCATTTTTGCACCATCCATTTCACACTTAATTGGTTTGGTTCTGGTTTTTCTACAGTGAGGTAGCTACAATTGTTGGCTTCTCATTTTTTATTAAACCGACTCTTAATAACAAATATCTAGTTTCTCCTTCTCCTTCTCCTTCTCCTTCATGTGAAGCTCTAATAAAATCCACAAAATTAACATTCCAGAATTTCTCAACTAATTCCCTGAAGCTTATGAGACAGTGAACATCTCAACTGCTAAAAAAAGGATATCGTGATCTTCAACAAAACACGGAGAAACACCAGCGCCACCATGTTGCTGGCCAACATACAATGGAACCTTTCTTCAACCGACTCTCCATAACAATAATAAATAAATAGTCATAGCCTTTATTTCACAAATAAATATCTGGTTTCAGATCGATTTCTCCTCTTCACGAGTTTCTTTCTTCTTTAGTACAACTTTTCTTTCGTATTAGATTTTCTTCCTTCTCCCGTACAACTGCTTCATCATCTACCAATTCTTCCACGACGTCAGTTTACAACCGCTGCATGGCATCCACTACTACAACTTCGAGTAAAGCTAAAGAAAACCTACGGCTACAGCCTGTCAAGAAAATAAGTTTCTTCTTTCACTTGAATTTGTTGACTCTCAGATGTTGGTATTAAGTGGGTCCATGAATGTGCAGTATATTTTCGTGAGTGAATGACGGCGTTGAAAATAGTAATAAAGCATAGCANCGACAGAGGAAGGAAAATAAAACACTAGCAATCTTAAATATTTGAACCAATTTATTTTTGCTCTTAGAATAATATAATCTAAATTAAGTTAGAAATTGGTTGAAATTTCCCTCTATGAGTTAAAAGTTTGGTAGAGTTGGAAGCAGAGCAACACATTAAATATTGATGGGAATTAAAGAATTGTACGTGTTTGTAAAATTGTCACAAGAGTTGAAAATAGTAATAAAGCAGAGCAACACACTAAAGATTGGTGGGAATTAAAGAATTGTAGCGGTCCTTTTAGCATAGAGAAATGATGGATTTTGTATGAGACTTATTTTAGACATGAAAGATACAAATGATTTTGTCGTAAATTATTGTTAGTATGTAAAAAAAAACTGAAGAATGAAAAAAAAAAATTACAAAACTGATTTGCTCGGCAATTCTGCAGAGACACGGTGTTGTGTCTCTGCACAATTAAGAGACATGGCACTTGCCGTGTCTTCAAACACGGAGTGCCGTGTCTCTGAATTGTGCGGAGACACGGTGTCTTCGCACAATTCGGAGACACAACAAGTGTCTCCGAATTCTACAGAGACCTGTGTATCCTGATTGTGCGGAGACACGGACAATTCGGAGACATAGCAAGTATCTCCGAATTCTACGGAGACCCGTGTCTCCGCACAATCAGGAGACACGGAGTGTGACTTTCGAAGTGTCAATTAATCCTATTTTTTCTTATTGTATAGGGGAATGACTATGGTTATCTGTTACACAATTTGGGGAATGGCTTGCCCGACTACTCCATGGATTTTTCAGAAATAAGAGAAATAAGAAAGCAAAACAAGAGGGACACATCAAGAGCCATTCTTGGAAATGAGGAAGAGCTCATCTCTTCAACTTCTCGAACTACAAAAACTGCCAATGTTGATGATCATCACGACTATGATCAAAATCACTCGCCAACAGTGAGTTCTTCAGCTATCTTTAGTACACGTTCTTTTAACTATGTTTATGTTTAAATGAAGACATGATTAATTATGAGTCATTGGGATCTGATACTGTATTGAAATACTACATTTTGCAAGTAGTCGGTAGTTATTAATTAGGAGAGTAGCTAAAGGTATATAGCGGACTATATGTGGTTAGGACTACTGGGTGGGGGACTGAAACTTAGTTGTTTTCAGTGAGTGTATTAACAGGATAGCAGGTAGGTGGCAAACAGAACTGTTTGTAATGGAGCCCTGTGTTGGATAGTGAAAATATTCTGATTAGTTACCTACCCAATTAAGTGAAATGCTGACTTTGGCTAAACCCCGACTTAAGACGAACAAATACAGCAGTGCCATGTGCTCAAGTTTATTCTGTTGGTTCAAATGAAAATTACAACAAAGGCAAACTTTTTGGACTAGGTACGAAACTTAAGTTTGTTATCTCATGTCTTTGGAAGCATGAATTAAAAATCATTCAGTGCCTTACAGCCAAGTGCTGTTAGGTTGGATAAGGTTCACAAATGATTTTCTTGATCTTAGTGGGGGCTTGCAGACGATTTTGTCATATGTTGCTGAATTAATGTAATTCTTGGTTTAGTACCTTAGAACATGAAATGTGAAAACGACTTGTACTAGCATAAACTTGAGATAATCTTACTTCCAGATCCACATGCATATACAGGTGGTGCGCGTGCAATGAATAATTTAAGCCATATGATATAGAATCACGATGCTGCTTACTTTTGCTTAGTCAGCCTTCTTTAAATTTGAAAAAATCATGAATGTCACACATAGATTCCCGTTTGAATTGGAAGAAATTTTCTGAAGGTTCACTTTTTTTCTTAGCAGTTGAGCTAATATTGTCAACACTACTCAAACTATTTCTTTCTTTATTGTCTTCTCTATAGTTGGCTGTCGTGTATTTTTAACAAGAAAAGCTCTTACTGCTTACACAATCAGTATACTGACTTTTTTTTGCTGTTGCCTATGATTTTCCATTAAGTAATTTCTGAAGCTCGTCTCAGTTTTACAGACCGATTGTGAGTCGTTAATTCTCTGCTATTGTGTCTCACATACCATGAAGAGCATTTTGAGCTACTTCAACTGTTGTGTGAAGGCCTGATTTTGATGGAGTTGAGTCGCATTCTGTAATGTCAAGTCGACCTTTCCTTGTTTTGATCAATTATCACTCAAAAAATAGGGATTATTTTCACTTTTTGCAATGAGAGAGAAGCATCGTTAGCAATTGCCAAAACCACTGGGAGCTTCCATATCGCTATCGTAGAGGTACTAAACTTATTCATTAACCATTAAATTTTTCTTTGACCTTCAAAAATGGATTGTAACAGAATTTTTAAAGTGGACTTTTAAAACAAAGAAATTTCAAATTACTATTCCTATCAGTTTGTTTTAGAACCATTTGGGGAGTAATGGTTTGTATGTGTGTTCAAAATGCTCATATATTCTAATCTATAGGGCGCGAAGACTAATCCTTAGAGAAGCAAGGAAAAAAGTGAACAATCAAAGCAAGTCTGAAAGTCACATATTCTACTCAAATTTTCTATTGCATGAGAGCTTATTGTACTCATTCGACAATAGCGCTGGATTCATTTGCTGTTGTTAAACATAACAATGTATAGATAACCTAAGTTCTATTCTGTAATCTTCAAAATATAGCAAATGTTACAGGTAAGTTCGAGCAACTAGGAGAGGTTATATGAATATCTTGAAAATTCTAGTCGCTTGCGCAAATGACCCTGATGCTTTTCGCTTGCTTGGTGAAGCTAAATATGCGCTCAAAGATTATGGAGGAAGTATTGTTGCATACAAAAGTTCTACAATGGTCAATGTGCTATGGACTTTTTGGATAAATGGATAATATTGTGTATGTAATCATGTTCCTAAAGGTTTTGACTTTCTTACTTGGGAATCATTATCAATAAATTTTTAATAGGCATGAATACAAAATATAGTAGGATAACTTCCAGTTCGTAAGTTTGTGACAATGCTTCCATGGCAACTTTTTATTTTCTTGCAGGTATCGAAGACTATTGAATTTGAAGTCCTCTGTAGCCTCACAAACTCATTGCTGGCTGCAAAAAGTCCTGATGATGTTAGTCAATATGCTAATAAATATAGTCATTTACATATGCTGGATATAAATTCACTTTAAGAACAATAACAATGATGTTTCCAGCAGTGAATCATAATTCTAATCATTGTTAAGATTAAATTCTGGTTTGCAACTCGATTGTGGGCAGCTGTTGACACCCAAGTTCGATGCAGAGAAGCAAGCGGAGTTCAACAAAGGTGTTGAAGGGGCGACTAAATTTCTGCTCTCAAAGTTCAGTGACCTCTAATTGTAAGTTTAACATAGCATTATTTTAACATGTTTGGTAAGTAGGTGATAATACCACTCGAAAGTATTGAGTAGATGATGACAAAATATTGGGTTTTTAATACTTATTGTGAAGGTCATTTTGGATAGCTTCTGCATTTTGTAAAAGTACTTGCGGAGTTGGCTTCCTTTGGAAGCTCTTTTAAGCATCAGATAAAGCTCCATCAAAAAATTATCTATATAGATTTAAAAGAAGTTTCTTAGTTTTAAAATCTACTTTAGGCTTTCAAGAAGTCACCCTAAATGGTCTCTATCTTGGCCAACCATAAGCTCACAGTTACATATTTCCAAATTCAATATCTAACATCGTCTTTTAATTACATTGAGAGATGCACACCTCCCAATTGAAAATCATTTCTTTATCAATAGAAAGGGCTTGGGAATCTAGAGATCCCCAATAGGTCTAGGTGGAGACCTAAAATCCCTTCTAGGCTTAGATGGTGCTTCTACTAAAAATATGCACACCCATATAGTAATTATTAATGGAACAATATGGTTTTCTTTTGTTTGTTGGATCTTTGTTCTGTAAATTTGTATGTTTTATTTGAATATTTTGATTATAATACCTTTCATTCTAGGAGGAGATTAATAATGGTGATCGTTTTGAGGATGGCAATCCTATTCCATTGGTGATGGTGACTGGTTATAGATGTCTTTGATCTAGGATGTGATAGATAGTGATTTTAGATCTTGAGGTGATAGTAGGTGATAAATATATAGAAAACAGTATAGGCTAAAGGCTAAACATGGGAACTCCAATAATTATTTTTCAGGTCAATTATACATATGCGGTAATTTATCTGATTTTGACCAACGGGAAGAAGATGAGGATGCTGGTTTTTTTGGGTCAGATGAGCCCACTCATTCGACGACGTGAAACTGTTTGTCGGTAATTTACGTTTCAGTGCGAACAATGCTGCTCTAGCTGATTTTTTGAATAAGTCGGAAATGTGGGGATGGTTGAGGTAATTTGATTACCTATTTAATAATTTCATTCTTGATTTCTAGATGAAATTGTTTCCAGTTTTAATTTACCTTTCAAAGTTGACAGTGCTGCTCTAGCTAAACTAATTGAACAAGCAGGAAATGCTGAGATGGTTGAGGTGATTTCATTACCTATTTAATAATTTCAGTCTCGATATGTACTCAATTTTTTCAAGTTTTATGCTGGCACTAAATTGAAAAGGTTATGGTATTATTTTTTAAATTGAGCTTTATATGTTGAGTTCCGTATCTTTTTGGATTTTACTTGTTTATTTTTTTCTTGATGCAATTTTTCAGTTGTAATTTTTCCTCTTTTTTCTTTTTTTATCCTTTAGAAGTTCTGTAAGAATTACAAAGTGTGAACTGTGAAGAAAGGTAAGAATACCTCAATTGTTCCTTCATACAGTTCTAGAGTGGCTCAGAAGTAAGATGTGATAGTCACAAAAATATTTTGGGTAACATTGTATTAGAGTCTCCTGTAATAGTCTCCTGAGAAGTCCTTACCATTTGGCTGTAGAAGAGCTCAAGCGAAAATATGGAGTACAAATAGATATAGTGCTGGAGTTATTCTCTATATCTTCTTGTGAAGGAGTTTGTTCATTTTTGTCTGGTATATTGAATTTTCTCAAAATAGTATCTCTATCTGTAACAAGCTTCTTCTTCTCGTGCAATCATAAACTTGCTTTACAGTTTCCATCTGCCTTACAGTTCTTTAGAGTTTGTAGGGCCATATGCATTTCACCTTTAATGCTTCGTATTCATTGGATGATCTTTGGCATTCCACTTTAGCTCAGACGAGCTTGTGTTAATGACGATATATTTTTTCATTTTCTAAATCATGTTTCCAACCATGATTAATCATTTGTCTAAAACAAGTTTTTGCACTGAGCCTGAACA